GACCTAGGGAGGATTTTATATGGGGTTTATTTTTTAGCAATTTGACAGAGACACAACTTTAAAATTTGATTTAATTCGGTTTTATTGGGGGGGGAATGTATTTATGTTTTGTTTTAAATATGTTGTGCGCCGCCCTGAGTCCCGTCGGGAGAAGGGCGGCATATAAATTAAATTAAATAAATAAATAAATAAATAAATGTTAATGAAGCTGACTCGTTTCTCTCTTTTACTTTGTTCTGATACATACAATAGCAATTCATTATCAAAAACAAGAATTATATTTATTTTTTACCAATCCTAATCTCAGTTTTACTGGCAAGATAAGAACCCCGCCCACCTGCCACAAACACTATTAATAAATGTGGGGCAGGGGCGGGTTTTGGGCACTCGGTCTCTTAAAGCTTTGCCATCACTTGTATAGGGTTTCCTACCTGAGCAGGGTGTTGGACTAGAAGATCTCCAAGGTCCCTTCCATCATCATCATCATCATCATCATCATCATCATCATCATCATCATCATCATCATCATCATCATCATCATCATCATCATCATTATTATTATTATTATTATTATTATTATTATTATTACTATTATTAAATTCTTTTTTTAAGGGCTGGGGACACTCCAATTGAATTAGGGCACTCTGTGACTACTTAGTAGTTGTTTATCTATTATAAAAGAAATGCTGTAGTCTATGGAATACACAAATTAGCTGTATTGAAGACAGGCACAGTTATTCAAAGGCGTTTCAAAAGACAGGACAGAAAACAATGGTTTTGTATTACCAAGAAGCAGATTTGAGGTGGTAATGCTAAGGATTTTTCAATAGTAGAACAAAAAGACCAGTAGGCCCTGGATTCTCCTTGCTGGAAAAATTGAAAGAGAGGCTTTATAGCCATGGTTTAAGCCACGTGGAGTAGTGCTGTATCCCTACCCTGGGCAGATGTCAGGTATGAAGAATTGGAACTACACAATAAGTTCCAGTTAAGATTATGCACAAGATTCTAGTTAACTAGTGATCAGCAATAAATTGGCACTAGGTAAGAGTTAATGGAATTCAAGGGGGTGGGCTGGACTTGATTCTCTTGTGGGAACGTAATACTGATACTGTTTCCTCTTTTGAATGCCCCCCCCCCTCCCGGTCTGTGCCTCTTTTTCTCCTAACATCAGGAGACTGGAAGATCCTTCACAAGCCTTCCATTCTATCATTCTATGGTCACGTATCAGAAGTATTGTCTAAAACATGATTATAGGGCAGAAATAAGGGAGGAAAATGAAATTATTTAAATGTTTGGATGTTGTAGAAAGCAGAACAATTATTTATTTATTAAATTCATATGCCGCCCTTCTTGCCAACCAGGTTCCTAAATGAATGGCTCTATTTATAATGTGGCCTATGGCTTAATATACATTTACTGACGCATGCACATTTGTAACGTATGGAAATAATATTGACAGAATATTTTGATATCACCACTGTTTCATTGGTTACAAAAAAGTAACTTGTGTTGTAAAAAACTCAGTACTACAGACAACAGCCTGATCAAACTAACTATCAGCCTGAACAGTAATTTTTGTTAGACTGAAGATGACAAAATACCTGGGTGAACAACTGTATGAGGCACAGCGTCAGGAGGGGCTGCAAGCCTGGCACTTGTAGAAACCAATCGTTGTGTACCTATGAAAGAATCTTGATGTTAGGTGGGTTTTATGATGAGAAAAATTGTCAGAAATAAATACTGGCATTATATTTCTAGAATATAAAACATAGGGCAGAAATAAGGGAGGAAAATGAAATGATGTTGTAGAAAGGGGAACAATTATTTATTTATTAAATTCATATGCCGCCCTTCTTGCCAACCAGGTTCCTAAATGAATGGCTCTATTTATAATGTGGCCTATGGCATAATATACACTTACTGACTCATGCACATTTGTAACCTATGAAAATAATATTGATAGAATAGTTTCATATCACCACTGTTTCATTGGTTACAAAAAAGTAACTTGTGTTGAAAAAAACCAAAGCTTTGCCTTTTATTTTGGATATCTCAAAACATGCATTAAGAAAAGCGTAGGTTTCTTACTGGAATAGCTTTTTGGATTTCATTACCAAGCGGAGAGCATGACATGGGCAACCCACTTCTCAAAACTACAGGCAACAGCCTGATCAAACTAACTATCAGCCTGAACAGTAATCTTTGTTAGACTTAAGATGACAAAATACCTAGGTGAACATCTGTAGGAGGAGGAAGACGAGACTTAAACCTGGTACTTGTAGAAACCAATCCTGGTACACCTATGAAAGAATCCTGATGTTAGGTGGGTTTTATGATGGGAAAAATTGTCAGAAATAAATACTGGCACTATATTTCTAAAATATAAAACATACCATGGGATGGATGTCTAAACAACTGTGAATTTCCAGCAAGTCCTGGATTTTGTTTCTGGAAATACTCATTATCTGGACAAAGAAACGATAGAAATAATATCAACTTTACTAAAAAGGGGGCTTCATTTTCCATCATTTTCTAGATTCTCAACTCTCAGAACTGTCCCCTTGGGTAAGAAAGAGAATGTGCTCACCCATCTTTGAGATTATTTATGGTGAAAGATTACAGCTGTTTTGAAGTAGACTGGTCAGTTTTATGGTTAGCAGAACTTAGATCGTCCTGCTTAGGAAACCCATTATTATTTTAATTATTATTATTTTTTACTTTGTATCCCGCTTTTATTATTTTTAGAAATAACTCAAGGTATAAACATATCCAACAAATCTTCCTCCTCCTAGTTTTCCCATAGCAACAACCCGTGAAGTGGGTTGGCTGAGAGAGAATGATTGGACCAAGGTCACCCAGCTGACTTTCATGGCAAAAGTGGGATTTGAACTCACAGTCTCCTGGTTTCTAGCCTGGTGCATTAACTACTAGACCAAACTGAATCTCATCACCTTATTAGTTTACCAAATCATTTTGCAATCTAATTCACAATTCTGAATCACAGAATTCCATCAAGAGACTTCGCAACATTATGAACTACAATCACAATCACAACACACAATCTGTTCTTATATTATTTATAGAACATAAACTAGGGATTTAGAAATAATTACAGTGGCAAGATAGGCAATGAAAATAAGAAAGCTTTCAGCTATAATCTTCTGGTTTCCATTCCATTTATTAGTCCTTTTTTAAAAAAATAGTACAAAAATATACTTAGTATAAAAAGAAAGTGGATAGAACACAGTTCAGTTTTATATTGAAATAATCTAATATGTGAATCAATCTAGCTCATATAAGAAAATTCTGTTTATATATAATAAAACCACAGTACAGAAA